TAGGTCATATAGAGGCATCATTATTAAATTTAAACTGTTTCATAACCAGTTAATAACTCCTTGTAGTACATTTAATGTGTGTATAAATAATTTAATAAATTAATCAGTACAGTATATTAACAAAATACTACTGTATTTATGTGAACATAAGCCTAAGAAGTACATAGTTAAAGTGCAAGTGAAGTGGAATGATAGAAAAGATACGAAAATCTGACGGTGCAATTTAAAAGTTTACAAAGTTAGTGATGACTCAAGGATGTGGATAAAACCACCTAGTGAGCAAGGTAGAGCTCTTCTGGTCCGTCTGCAATTTCACATAAATATTAATCACTTTTTCTATCTGGGGGTAGAGGACTAAAATAACATAACGTTGAGCTTCAAATCTAGGAGGGATGGTCGGTAGGTAGGTTGTGTGTATGGGCGCAATACAGTCTTAGTCTTTGTCATTCACTATCACACCTCATAAGGCAGGTTTAGGCTGTTCCATATGGATGAAACTCATATATGACAGGTCTTGGTTCATCAAAATGTAAATGCAAGCAGCTGTTTGTGTGTGCATCAGCAACTCTTGAGAGGCATGGGAAAGTGTTTTTCGTAAGTGCAGATTTTTTACACGTTTTAACATAAGATGCAGATGTCCACATTTCACAATTTATGACCTCTATATTTGTCCACCATTTAGAGTAGATGTGTTTAGTGGAATATGTATTGTTGTCTTTTTGTTGCTTTATTGCTTTTTTTATTCCTGGTATCAGTTCCTGTGCCTGTTGCAGCTGAAAAATGAGTTCTATTTGCATGCTTATTTCTTATTTCTTTATTAAACTAGAGCTTTCTTTCCAAAATGTTTTACTGTACAGCCATCTGCGGGAAATTTCCCTTGAATAAAACTTATCACTATTCAATATTCAAAACCCCAAGTGACTGCACTCTCATAAATGTAATTCTTGGTTTTCAAGATGGATGATAATAGCTTTCCATAATGTGCTTTATTGAAATACGACAATTTTTACTTATAGTGGGGGATATAATTTTTAAACTAAAGTCCTTTTTTCTAAAGATAATTAAAATGTCCACTTGTCATCATATGTTCTACAAATCCTGTCCTGGAATTCCTCTAGATTGTTGAAATGGGAAAGGCTGCTCACATTGCTGTGTTTTTTTTTGTTTTTTTTTATCTTTGTCCAGTGCCATTGTTGAATAAATGTCAAGATAATCAGTCATCCTGGTTAATTAAAAGCATATTTGAGTTGCTCACAGAGAAATAGCCACTACCCGATGCCTTTGGCCCCCAGAATAAGAAGGGGCCAAGGTGAATCGTATTATCTACCTTTTTGTCCTCAAGATAAGAAGAAATGCTAGTTAAAGAAAGGGTTGTAGGAAACTGATAGGCTTATGTTTGCTGGCTTCTGAATTTTAATTAATCCTTTTGAGTGTGATACGTTTACACCATTTTGCATCCCTAGCTGAATTAAACAAGCTGTTTTTGAGAGGATTATGCTGATCGGTGTTTGGAAATATGATAGGAAGGTGAAGAAAAACCCTTATTTGTGGATGTCTGATATCAGCTTTGTTGTGATCTACAGTAGCATTGTAAATTATACTGCCCGGTGCATACGCTGTGTGTGGCTACAGCTGCCTCTGTTATCAGGCTCTAGGCAAAGATGGAGGGAAAGATGAAAAACAGGGAGGGTGGACAGGAAGAGATGGGATTTATGCTAACATGTTGGTAGGAAGGTAACGGATTTATTCAGTCCTTTGTGAAGACTGATGCCACTGGACCCCACCTCGACAGCCTCTTTCTTCCCTCTTGCCTTTCGCTTCTGTACCCTTATTCTCTGTTCTCTCCCCTCTTTCTATTTACCTTTGTCTCTGGCTCTGTCTACTCTGTGATCCTTAGGGACACACTTTTCATTTATTCTAGTCCTACACCTTCTTCAATTCCATCTCTCTCATGTATTTAAGACTCCCTTTTTCATTTTTCCCCCTCTTTACTTGGAATCAATACTCTGGTGAATGGGTGGCTGTCTCTATCTTTTCTTCAATCTGCCATACATTGTTAAATAAATAAATACATTTAGATATACATATTGAAAGCATTGGTCCCCACTGCAGAGATGCTGTCAGTTCCTCTAGCATGCACTTCATTATTATTGCTCCCACTTGTGCCATCAGTCATAACGCTGCCTTTTACCACACACCATAGGACATCCAAGGCTCCACACATAAACAACAAGCTAATAAGCTGACTAGCTTTCCCCTTACTAAGTAGAATATATATAACATGCTGCTGGGGTTTGACCAGTTCCTTTGTGTAGTTCAGCACTTTAATCAGTTCCCTAAAATCCTAGAAAAAAACAAAGCATGTGGCATTTATCAAAAGGGTTTGATTTCATATACAACAGCAGAACGGGAATGGTTGTGTCATTAATTTGACAGTTGTTTGGTACATAAGTTGGACTTTAAGTGAATAAATAAAGGCAGAGTGGATGTTGTATTCTGTTCAGTTTCCCAGGGAGTCTGAGAACTGAAACATTTCTGCTCGTAATTGTGCGGCACCATAGTACCAATAGAAGCTGGGAAACTGCAAGCCACCTCCATCATATAGCAAATTCAGTCTTTTCTTTCCTGGCTGTAGCTTCATATTTAGTACAAACATGCGCAGCGTGTTATCTATCATCTCATGTAAGTCTCTGCTAGAAATTGAAAAAGCGTATTCCCCAAAATGTCAAAATATTCCTTCAAATGTTAATTGCATTCATTTTCATCTCCCAGTAAGGAGAACACACAGCAGCCATGTGCTCTAACACTCACTTTGTTTTCACTGTTCACATAAACTGATAGAGACTGCCTTGTCTCATTCTTGGTTTGTTATTCGTCCATCTTAGAAATTTGGAACATTTTGTTTACTGTGTGTCCTTACGTTACACAGCTTTAGCCTGGCACTGCGCTAACCTACATTTTCAGCTGGTTTAAACTAAGAGTCGATGAGGTGGTTTAACATCAGGCTCATGTGAAAGAAAATGGAACAGTTGCAGTCCCAGTTACTCTTTCTACTAGTCAGAAGGAAATCACCTCGACACAAACACCACCACCAAACACACACACAAGGTGGTTCCCACACAGACACACGCACACACACACACACACACACAAACACATTCTTGCTATTTGTCAGCCCCCTCGCTGTACAGTATATTTCATCATGGCGAGGCAAGGCATTGCTAACACGCCAAGCGAGTGCTTTCTCTTGTTCAGTGGCTCTCACTGTCAAGGGGAGGGATTTTTTTTCCCTCTCCCTGTGACAGACTCAAGTGCTTCAATTTTCCCCTTGCTTGGGGAAAGTGACTGCACAAAATCTTTGGAGTCCATAGGCTCTCAGGAAACTGGGATACAGACAGGGCTTGAGCTGGTTTTGCAAAACTGAGCTGGGCACTGAAAGTAGATCATGTGATGGTTAAAATGGATCAAAACCCCTGAGCAAGTTCAGGGAGGCAACTTGAGGGTTGCTGCTTTGTTCACATGTGGACTGCTTTATTCCCTGCACCACATATCTAACACGGTCTAGCAAAAAGCGGATCTATTAAAGCTATTAATGCATTTACTCATTCAGTCTGTCTAAAAGCAAACTGCTCAAATTGAAAGCACTTCTCCTCCACTGTAGCATCCACCTGTAATCTCATATGTGTCTTTTGCTGAATTTATTCTTAAAGAATATTCTGTTCCAGGTTGTCAAATATTGCTATGCCCATGTTGCTATGAATATTAGCCATATATATATTGATGTCAAATATCAATATGGATTAAGCAGTATACTGGAGACTTTTTCATCCATGCTGGATCTTTGTCAAGTGAAGAAATCTATCACAGTCTCACCTGACTGACACTCCTGATCCACTTAGTCAACCTCAAAGAACAGACTCCAATAAATACTTGCTAATAAAACTCCTCCTGTCCCCTCATGTCTCTTGTTAAAGGATGCAATGCCTGCTGATGGTTGAACTAAAAGTGGTTTGAAGTTGACTCAGAACTTACCCTTGACTTACATTCAATTTTAATTTCCTAGCCTTGTTGCCTTGTTAAGTGGAGTATCAAACTATGGAAATGCTTTAAAAAGTTTCCATTTATTTTCATCACTTGTCAGACAGTGTGTTCGGTTTCAGCAAGTGTTGTTGTATGTATGTATTCATACATAAATACAATATATCATAGTCACTGTGTAAAGAAATGGAAATAAGTTGATTCACTATAGAGTTATATTAATGACCAGAAGAGAGTAGCAGCAGACACAATACTGGAACAGCGTTCTTTGAGTCATACACTAATGATGCATGTTACCTTTGTCTCCACAGCAAAGAAGACATGTGCGACCACAGACTTCGCCTGTAAGAATGGACAGTGTGTTCCTGCTAGGTGGCGCTGCGATGGAGAACCGGAGTGTGCAGACGGTTCAGACGAGGCTGATGCAATCTGCAGTAAGTAGCCGTACAGATGCACTGACGTTAAACAGACAAACACAAATAGTGCCACAAACACAGACAAAGGAAGGCCATGAACACACAGTCAGGTAGGTCAGGAAACACAAGACGTTACATACACGTGTAAGTGTGTGTGTTTATACTAGTGCATCTTCATTCATGTGTGTTTGGTATAAATGAAAGTTTATAACACCATGCATTTTCTAAAACACCAGCACACCAGCATTTGCATTTAAACTAGTTGACCTCCACACACACATGCAAACACATACATTTCCTTCGGCATAAAGCACTCCCAAGGTCGCCCTGTGTCAGTGTCTTACTTTTTGATGCGCTCCAGCCGCAGTGCCAACCTTCTCTTTCTTGCACATTGCCTCAGAAAATTGCTTTCAGTAGCTTTTTTTGTTGGCTGCACCAACAGACGCAGGACATCCATACATGGTTTTATCAAGGCCATGGATGGCAGAAGAGCGGGCAGGATGCCCGCTTCTTTCATACTATTTCCATAGAGCATGCTTATGTTTAGAGAATTAGAAAATACAATATAGTGTCTCACAAAACAGATCATGACACAGGAAAATATTTTCCGGAACTTACATTTTTACTTCTTCAGTTATTTAGTGCATATTTTAAAAAGCATTTTTTTTATTATGTGCAGGTACATTGATAGAAAGCTAGGTTAGTTAGTTAAGCTAAAGTAGTTAGGCTGTATTGCTAATGCTATTCTGTAGGACTAAAAATCTTTTGCTGCAAATACTAAATCTAAATGTGACAAAGCAGTTTTTGTGGAGGACAGTTAAGCAAATATTGCTAAAAATTCCAATAACCCATTTCTGTTTATCTGTGTCACTACACTAGTTTAATTATGAAAAATGGAACAAAGCCTGTAAACAGATCTTACCTGTTACACTCTTATTTAAAAGGTTGGCAGACGGTGAGGTCACTTGTTGCCGCAATTATGAAAAATGGAACACTGCCTACTTTGATTATTAGATTCTTTAATCAGCAGAGGAAACCCACTATTCACAGGTGGGGAAAGAGGTGTAATGAGTGTTAGGTGGAGCGGGGAGGTTTTACACAGCATGTGCATTTGTATGCTTGGGTTAAAGGATCAAAGTCAGAAAGAGTAATGATGAGACTGAAGGAGTTTGAGGACCAATACTGGAAGGTTAAATGGAAGGTTAACACTGTCTTTTTTAATTTGTATGGGAGGTTATTAACTGGCTTTTGGAAATGTATGGTAGAGGTTCAATTAATAGTCTGACACAAGAGGCTTTTCAGAAGCTGCATAATAACCTTGCTAGTTTTTGGAACTTTTGAACATTTTTCTTTTGGTTTGTTAAAGCTTCAGGTATATATTAAAAAAGGTTTACAGGAGACACCACAACACCTTGAGGAGAGTAGATTCTCTGGAAAAAAGTTAGTCCATGACTGAGTGAGAAAAGAAATGTATGTAAAAATGTATACTGTATGCATCAGTATGAGTCAGATACAGGTTTGAGAGAGAAGAGTAGAAGTTTCTGATGGCTTTGGGTAAGGCTTGGGTGAATTTCAAGATAAATTTATGATTCTGTGAGAGACTACACCCCCAAATATGAAAAAGTACTACTAAAAGTAACATACTATTTAGTGTAAGTGATCTATATTCAAGCTGCCAAAACTACCCTTTTTTATAGATGCATTATCCTTGTGAAAGCAGTCCAAATTTTGAGACTTTTTGTAACACACAGACTCCTCATCCAGACTACTGCGTTGGCACAACTGGGCGACACTGAAAAAACACAGGGTTGTCTGGTGAAATAGTGGCTCAACATCAACAGAGTGCTGTCCAAGTAGACTACATGATTAGCTTCACAAGGCAACTGGACTCACAAGATCAAAGAATCACAAGATTATGCAAGAATCCATCTCGCCAGGCTTCAATCTATGTGTTTGTGGCCGGTAAAGTGGTACCGTACCAATCAGTGTCCTTTAAGGAAATACTGGCAGCTACAGGGGTGAGCAGATAAATCAGAACTGGATAGTATTTTTTCACTGAGAGAATAGTGGCAATAAAGGCTTTTCTCAGTAGAAAAGATTTCGCTCTTCTCACAACAGACAGCTACATTACAAGGTTTGTTGATGTGATTTGTTGAAGTTCGCCTGTGATAGACAGTGATAGACAGATGGTTCATTCAATCACCTGCCAAGTACTTTTTCAATGTGCTTGCCCTTTTCCAAAAAATGTCCAACAATTACTTCCCAGATGGTTCTGCATAACAAACTATCTGGCACAGTCAGGTTAATACATCATAGGACTTTCTAGAGTTGTAAAATCTGCCTCAAAGCATTATAAAGAGCTGTACAGTGTCATTGCAAAAGTTGTATGGTGCTTTTTAAGCATCAAGAGCAAGCTGTTAAACAGTTGAGTTGAAACTGATCAACTCCTAAGGTATGAGCAGTAGAATCCAGACACATACTTTGAAATTCATTGGCATTTCAGAGGGATTGATTTATTAATCTCACATATAACCAGTGTTTCCTCCAAAGATAAGTCACAGAACAGAGCAGAAGTAGCAGAGGTCAGTTTTTCCACTTCTTATCACAAAACCTTCCATATGGCTGTGACTACAGGCCAGCTCATATTTGCAATTTTTATTAAGATGATTTTTTTTTAAAGAGGTGATCAAAGAGCCCTTTGAAGATTCTCAAAGTAATAAGTCTGATTGAGATAGACCAAGGACATGTGTGAGAGTGTGCGTATACGTGAACATGTGTATAAAGGGTACGAGTGTGTGCGCCCTCATAAGTGTGTGTATAAAACTAGAGTCAATGCTTGTATTTAGTATTCATCACAAGGTGAATCTGTAAGTCATTTCATCAGATTAGTGGACTTGTGGTTAAGTCTCATTATGTCTAATCAAGGTCAGACGATGTGAGAGCTTCTCTAACTTTCTCAGCCACATTGATCCTCACAGCTGTGTGTGTATGCATACGCAGTACAGTGTGTGTGAATGGAGTTGAGCAATATGGAAAATATGCCAAATTTTTCATAGATAATCCAGTTTGATCATCAGTTTGTATATTCAATACTGACACGAAGATACATTAAAGGGATTGCTACTTTATATAATAAATGGTCAAATATAATCCTAGATTGCTGACGATTTTCTACCATTTTACTGTAAACAGATGGGTGACAGAAAAAAAACCAGCAGCTTTAATTGGCTTTAGCATACCTTCTACAAGTCTCTGGAACACCATTCTTCCAAAAGATATTCTCTCCTTTGGTATTTTGATGATGCTAATGGAAAGCACTGGTACTTACTCAGTTTACTATCAGCCCATAATTCTCTCCCAGTGTATGGAAGCATCTGCACTGTTACCACATTATACAGATGAATAAAAATTGAATGTCTAGATTAACTAAGTGGAGAAACCACACGACCATAGCTATCACCACCATCTTGTCTCATCTCATTAATTTTTTTCAGGCCATGTTTTTTTTTTTTTTCCTTGTTAATATCACACAGATAGATCTATTGTTCTGTCCCTTTGCTATGCCCTTACACCCTCTGAACCTCTCTATACTAGCCTTCCATCTTTGTATCACATCCTATTCTCTGTCCTCTCGGTCTTTCCTGCTGTATGTCCTCCACTTTCTGATCTGAGTTCAGTTTAACTAATGCCTTTGATTGAATTGATTTCCCTGGGAGGGAATCGATGGGTTGATCCCCGAGACCTCTGGACGACTGCCGATTAACTATGGACCTCCGATGATGCCTCTGAAACCACACACACACACACTCAGGAGTTTTTTGTAATTACACATCTGAAAATTAATCTGGGCCTGGAGGGGATTCTGGAGAAAATGCTCAATCAGATGAGTGATTGATGTGGTTGATGCATGAAAAAGTGTGCGCGTCTGCACACAATGTTCCACAGCAATCGTAAGTGCAGGCATCGTCCCTAAGTACTGTTGTGGCAACATCATTAATAGTATTTGAGGTACCATGAAGTCACTAGATTACTAAATAAGTGACAGTTATTTATTGAAATAAACAAGCCAACAACAAACTGCAGCCCACATATTTGGACTAGATGTGGTTTCAGTTCAGTGAACTTCATTTGATCGAATACACCCTTATAATTCGTCATGTTCATGTTTCTTTTCCCTTTGATCAAGTATTTAAGCTCTGTTGTCGCAACCTTGGACATGCTGTCAATGTAACATGCAGGAACTTGTGTACTTTATGTTCAAAATCTTGAATCAAATGTCTTAGCAGTAATGCACACAGGCAACAAAACAATCAAAGTTAATATTCTTGATTTACTGTGAGACAAAATATTTCTTTCTGTTTGCTTGAGAACCAATTTTCACTTTTCACAGTTTTACTCTCTTGAACAATAAACATCCTGATCCACATGATAATGGATGTGAAGCAAATTAATATTCATTAAAATTTCTTAAGGCCTCTCATTGTGGTTTCAACACCGAAGGGTTCATTTTAAGGCTGCTTGATACTAATCCAGAAAAATTTTACCTGCTGACTAAATGCCAAAACATTACACACAATTATGCATTTCCAAAAAAAATGACTCATCATTTACTGCCGTCGGGTCATCTGTAAGTTTTCACATAACTGTTGCATTTACATAATTTGCTTCGCTGTGGGGTGCTCATGTTCATAATCCATGTACCAGACATCAAAGCTTTGATTTTCTGGGGTCTAGACATTACAAATTCAGCATCCATTTTCTCTGAGTGGCATCAGCAAGATCCTGCAGTTTGACAATCAGTGCTGATTAGAGGAGCTGCATAGACTCTCAAGCGGTATTTAAACTCCATCTTTATGTGTGTGCACTATTTTGGCTTTGCTGCTGCATATCTACACTCCAGGGATTAAAGTGAGCCCTTCTCGCCACCCAAGTGTCTCTGTGTAGATAAAGGTTATTGAATTGCAACATCAGACGCCCAGCCAACCTCACTCAGCCATATATTGGACCAACATGTGACA